TTAAGTATCTTTGCTATTATCTTTGCTGTATGTGCAATAAGGCTTATTGTGCGATGGTGGCTGCATTTTGTAGCTTTTGTCTTTTTCTATAAGGCAATCATTGTAACTTCTGTAAAGTCCTTGGGCCACTACCCAGTTTCATACATGGTGTTTATTAGTTCTGTCAGTGTTTTCAAACCACCTCCCAGTAACTTAAGCATATCTCCAGATACATCATCATCTCCTGTAGCCTTACCATTCCTCATGTCCTTGATACATTTTTCCACCTCACTTTGTAAAATATATGGTCCTTTCTCGTCTGTATCTACTTCTTCTTCTGGTTCAACTTCTAAGGTTTCAGGCCGATTAGGTCGATCATAGAGTTCTGTAATATAATTTTCCCAAATTTTCAGCACTTGCCTCTGATCTACTATTCTATTCCCCTGGGAGTCTTCGATGCCAATATTTTGAATCCCATGATTCTCTTTCCATCCTAGTTCTTTTGTCTTCATGTATATCAAATCATAAGGTCCTGTCCTTTGAAATTCTATAATCTCATTACATATCTTCTCAAGATATTCCTTTTTGGCCCTGTCCGTGGCTCTTTTCAATTCATTCCTCAGTCTCCTGTATTTCCTCCTGCCTTTTTCATTGTTTACATTCTTCAATTTCCTTCGCTCCTCCATTTTACTCATCATCTCCTGTGTAACCCATGGTTTTCTTGCTATCTTCTCAACTTTACCAACCAATTCGCTAATAGTATCTAACATGCATTCTTTTATATTGTTCCAAATTTATTACAAAGTGAAGTAATTTTCTCAATAACCCTTTCACTATCATGGATGAATGTCTGCATCATATTTATATATACTGTCATGTGACTGCGGCTATAGACAGGGTTTGGATTGGTAATCAGATTTATCGGATACTTTAACACACAACTCATGACTACACTTCACGGATCACTGTCACACAAAGAGTAGTCTTCTCGGTCACGGTCTTCACTGCGTTGCTTGGCAACATCTTCCAACAGTGGACATTCCTCTGCTTCCGGGCTCATGTCCTTGCTAGCTGACAGCCATCTCTCGCCAACCTCCTACTCTTCTAACTGCCATCTCAGGACACATGGCAGCTAGTCCTAGTTATATTGCCTTGGCACAGACCACACAGTAAACATCTCTTTGGGGATTGTGTGCTCTCTCATTGCTGGGGCAGGCTTGTTCCTAGCAATGGCTGTTGTACTGTCACCTGTTTACAAAGCTGTTACTTGGCAATGTCACAACATCTATATTATGAAAACGTTTCTACAGCATTCCCCATAAAAGAATGACTGTAACACTAATGAAGACTGTGTTTTGGAAAATATACTTACACATGGCAGTGTTCTCAGCCAGGATTGGATCGGATGAAGATCCCATAGCACTGACCATGGGAGAAGATGGGGCTTCACTGTTACATACCTCTTCCTTCCTCCGACAACTAGAAAGCTGGAAGTATTCAAACCCATCAAGCTATATACACCTACAGTAACACTACCTAACGGATCATAACATCACTACAGCTCCTATATATAGAGAGTGCTCCTGAAAACAGTGTCATAAACAGGAGGGCTCAAGCACAAAGTCTTATTTTCTTGTTTCACATCATCGAGTATGTATTCCAGTATATGACGTCTCTTTTCAAGATACTCTGTACAAATTCAAATTGGGTTACCTGACTCTTGGTGGATGGATTGCTGGAGTACATCGAACTCACTATTGGTGTCTTCAGGAGCTGGTGCACCTCCCTGTCGAGCAGCTTGTCCATGATACGAGCCACCTTCCCAGGGTCATCTTTATAGTGCACAAGCAGTGCAATGGCCAGGTCCCCCCTGAGGAACACATACAAACGTTTTATATTACAAAATAACAAACCAATTTTTCTTGTACAATTCGAGGTTCTCACAGCAGTGGTTACGAACGGTACTATCTTCTGGGATAAAACCGTGTAGTCCGTTGAAAGTCAACTGACACTACGCTCTGCCTGCCACCTGCTTTCATGCTGGTTTCTTGCTCCGCTTATTCTTTGATCCTGAAGATGGAGGTGACATGTTCCTCTGAAACATCGGTTGACTTTCAATGGCAATACATGCTTTTATATCCCAGGTAAGAGAACTCTTCAAGTCTTCTCGGCTCTGCAATTTGATGTGGGTGTGTGCCTTCTATACCAACAATTTCATAAAAACTCCCCCTTTCAATGCCTTTCACAGCCAGTTATAGACTTTCAGTGCTTTAAGATTTTTTCCATATGATGAAGCTAACTGACTTCAGATCCATCTGTGCTTAATGTCCATTTCAGGTTCATATTCATTTTGTCTAGGTGTCTGGCCCATCTAAGATGACCTTACCTTAATAATTTCGGGAACATCAGTATAAATATAAATATTTTTTAATGTCTTCTACATTAGAGGAGGCTACTAATTATAAAAATCTGACCTTGAGGTATGACTTATTTGAGTCTCACTACAGGATGGCTTTGACATAGTTACCAGCTGCAAACATGCAAAGACAAGCCTAACGATCCAGTCAAGTTACTAATGTTAGAGTACATTAATTTTCATTATCAAACAGCTATCTGTACACTCTATTAATTACAAATGTTGATCAACTAGACCGCTAGGACAGCTCAGTCATTATTCTTTTTCAGTCAGCAACAGGGGAACTGAATGCAATGCAAATGATGTGCTGCGGGCTGCATAAGTAGGGTTCGGTCGACAAGAGAGGCAGATCATCTCCACGGTAAAGTCCAGACTGACTCTAGGATTCAATCATCTCCACGTTCAATGGGTACCACAGTAACAGAGAGAAGAGATAATAACATTAGGATGGAGCTTACAGCTATGATAGCAATGAGAGGTGGATGGAACTAGCTAAGTCCAATGATGGACTTTGGAGTTAGCAGTGCTGAACTGTAGGTTCTAGCAGAGATTTACTTGGTAGTTTGGTTAGGCTGGTTTGCAGGCTCTACAACCTGATTATACACCGACAGATTATGCATTTTTCTTTACAAGCACTGAAGGAAATAAAACTTCAACAAATTTTCAGTAAAGTGCATAATTTTTCTCCATTGAATAAAGGAGATGAACACTGCATGACTGAAGAATGGTCCTTGTTGAGAAGGGAAAGACCCAAATCAAATATCATGCTCTTAAGTGTCCAATTCCCGCCTTTACAGGATGAAGTAAAATGTTAGAATGTTCTGACATCATACATTCAATAATTATCAGTTTCAATGTGAAGTTACATGGAGACAAACCTCTGTCTTCTGGTTCCCTCACACAGCAATGGATGATCGGCCTCAGAGACGTTAGCTTTCAGTCCTAGTGCTGCTACTGCTGCCTCAAATCCTAGGGCCTCATCAGTTGGTAACCTCAATGATGGATTCAGCAGTTGACATCTTGGATCGCGACCAACTGTTGCTGAGAACAACATGAAGTAGTGAGATCAAACATGGCAAGAGCCTCAGGTTTTGGTATCAATTCTTGGCTTACTTAACAATCTAGTCTTATACTAAAAATATTGTCACATGAAAGTGACTACATGATGGGTTGAGGTTGGAAATGGATTTCTTTAGCACTGATTCCCTTATCTACGACCATTTACAGGTATTCACAACTGACCGAAAATTTGTAGCTTGGGTCCTTGGTGTTCCGCCATCACAGACTTAGTCCCTTCTTGAACTGAGGTTGCAGGGTAACTAGAAGTGGGCTCAGACAGCGAGGACAATGACTTGTCTGGAGTTGTTCTCCATATTGCCTTGTTGCAGACTGCCTAAACAACACTGTTCCCAACGGTATCTCGAATGTTGTGGCCGACGAGGATTTCTGTTTCTGTTGCCCTGTGATATTTCTGTGGTTTCCACACTCCAGTGTTTACAGATTTTAGGTAACCTGTCACCTTATTTTCTTTACATGAAGCTCAAATGAAGTTTAATCAGTTTTCTGTAAGTGAGAAACCTGGAGATTCTCATGGCATTAAGTACACTCTTCAGGGAAGCAGTGCTGTGAAGTTTTGTATGGAGTTATCGACATTTCAGAGGAGCCTGTCTACCGCACTACATGGGATCAGAACCAACAAAACGATAATTCTGATTTCCAAAAGAGGTTCTTAGTAAAATATATTTACATAAACATAAAGGTTCCTTTGTGGAGGGAGGTTAGAACACGTCCACTGTAACCCTGCAAGTTGCAGAAGGTGATGAAAAGGGAACCCAATGCCTGGGGGTATAACTGGGCCACCCTGTCACTGGGGATATACATACAGGGACCTGGTCCTCAAGGCTGGGGGTTGGATGCAAGGCTGAGAACCTTGCTCGGTAAAAGAAAAATGCTATTGCAAAATCCAAAGAAGTGAAGACCGGATGGTGTACAAATCTGGCAGAATCTTCTAAGGAAGGCCACGGCTCATTAAAGGCTGTCCTGCTGCTGCTGGCGACGATGATGAATATAAAGTACAACTCTCATTACACTCGATAACTTTTATTTTAAACATTTTTCAATATCATGCATATTTAATCAAATACAAGGAAAATAATGTAAACATTATGGTGTAACTGCTGTCAGTCTCTAGATTTTCAAATCTACAAAATCATCATTTACAGACGAATGAAGATGGAATTCACTGGTAATTTATGATGTGCTGTCGTTTACCTGGCACCACAAGAACATCGAAGATGAAGCTGGCAAGCATTATTGGGAGCAAAGCTTCACCCCTGGAGCGTAATGTGCCTTCCTTTAACTGTTCAGCCCTTTCCCGGATCATCTTTAGTTCCCAGTTTCCAAGAGGGATCCGTTTCAGCAAGTTCACAAGTTCAGACTCCTGGTTGGCTAATTTCACCTATAAAAGAGAAGTTATAGCGTAACACTACGAGTAATCATGTTGCTATAACCTTGCCACTGTAAGATGCATGCCAAAGTTACGCAGCAGCATGAGAAACATATGTAAAGGTCTAGTAAAGTAAAGTAAGTAGAGGTATTGCCATAACAGGCTGTGGAGGCCCAGAGGATTGTGAGATGTTGAGGCTCCCACATTTTCTATACAGTCGGCTCAGAGGTGGCAGTAAGGTTATCAGCCTTATGCGCTGGTTGCCCTTTACCCCTAGGGATATTCCTGGTACTCATTTCTGTTAGAGGCCGAGTCGACCCCAGGGCCATAGTGCAGCTGGAAGGATTAGGTCAATTGAGAAAATCCACCTCATCGGGATTCGATCCTGGGACCTGTCATACTGTACCAGAATCTGTCGAGAAAACCTCAAAATCCTCAGTCAGGATAGCTTGCGTAGATTTCCTCAGTTTAAGATAGAGAAATCTTTAATCTAGAATTTCACCATGTTACGCAATCCTGACCAATGATTTTGAGGTTTTCTCAACACATTCTGGTACAGTATGACAAGAGTAAGCAACAACTTTTTCCTTTAATGTCATACCAATTTTTTTAACCTGCTCAGAATTGCCAGTGCTTACCTCAAGTGGTTTGGTACTGGCAGGGGGCCGGGCCATCTCAAGCCCAAACATGCCGACACAGAAAGCAAGATGGAAGTGTTCCAAGTTCTCAGCCAATACCGTGCAAAGAAACGCACACTTGGCAAGAGTAGCGGATGCCAAACAGCTCAGTTGGTGTGACGCTGGATTCACCTGCTGCAATACAGCAAACAATGTTATCAATTCTTGGAAATAAGTAAATCATTACGTAAAATAAGCCGTGATATTGACAGTGTATTCAGAAATGAAACAAGGAAATCAGAGATTTGGGTTCCCAAGACAGTGAATACGAAAGCTGCAGCATTCTGCAATGTGATGCCATGTAATCTGGTAGATGGTTACCAGTGTTTCAGAGGGACATGCTGCCTCCAACTTCAGGGAAGGAGAAAACAGTTATCTTAATAACCACTTCTGTTACAACCTAAAATGTCACACATATGGAAGTTACATGGCTTTAATTTGTGTATGTGCGTTTTTATTTTACTGTTGCTAAATTTGGCTTTCAAAATTTAAAAATTTTGAAAGATTTGAGCATGACTGGTGTTTGAAAACATACTCAAAATTGTGTTCACAGCCCTGAATTATACATTACTATGTTATCCATCATATTCATGATTGTGAAAATTTTCATGTATTAAGAACCTGTGAATGGAAATTTCTTATGTCTTCTGCAGTGCATGATTTAGAACCTGCCCTTACAGTTTGTCAGCAGCCTGTAAACTGCTACCAGAATATGGCAATGATAACAAATAGTTCAGGCAACACATAAGAAAAAAAAATCTGTATTCTGAAGATGTAAAAGGTGAGATTCTTTGAAATGTCAGTACCTAATTACCAAACTACATGGTGTCACACCTTCGTGAGACCATGACCTTAATATTCATTGCCATGGGAAGCTCAAACTAAATGTGAAGGTGGTGTAACATAAGGATCAGATTGCTACACTTTTGCTGGCAAATGTAAGCTCTGCAGAAGTGAGAAACTGTCTTCTGTTTCACATACTTTCTTTCTCTTGCCCTTGGCAGGAAGTGGTGGCAGCTCAACCATGAGGTCTGGAGGATTAACCAGCAACTCTTTAGCCAGTCTGACTCCCAGTGTACAGGCCTCCTTCCCGTGACCATGTGCATGGAGACCCTCAGCTCTGGCAAACAGGACATCCCACACATCTTCCATCTTTTTCAGGTTAACAAATACAGTAGACGGCGACAGAGGGTTCTGGTCATCTCGTTTCGTTGCAGACTTTTTCTCGCTGCCCCCGCTACTGCCACCAGTCGAACCGCCGACTCCACTGGCATTCCCACTAACACCTGCACTGACATTACTGATGCCTGCATCATTACTGTTCGACAGTAGGGCTTTAGGGTCATAGTAATACACGTTGTATTCATCTCCTGATTGTTGCGAGTCAGAGTTTGAAGACGATAATGACTCATCTTTGGACGGTCGACGGGAGGCTTCTGAGTCTTCTGGGGGAGACACTCCACCTCCTGAAACAAACATATCTTTAAATAATAGCAAGATGTCTACATGGTTGACTAAACTTATTAGAGGATGGGTAAAAATACAGAAAAAACTACACTGGAAGCATTACCCTCACCATGCACTGCATTATTCAAGTTTACAGTTCAGCAACATAGGAAACATATGCACACATACATAAATATCAGACATAAAAAGATGAAACAAAAATTAACAGATAGGTAGATGGCATTATCAACAACACAAGCTTTGGAGCCTGTTACTGAAAAAGGGAATCAAAACAGACAGATACATCTCACTAATAGTGTTGTTACAAACTCATATAAACAGATTCATCTTAAACAAAGTTTCTCTAATGAAATACAAAATATGAAGAAAGTAGTCTTCTGGGATTTTGCACAGACTGCTTTTACCGGTTCTCACGGTCTCTTCGCTTGCAGATTTCTTATATTTTTCCTTCTACCCTGAAGATGGAGGCGATACGTTCCTCCGAAACGTCGGTTAATACTGCATATACACGGTGCCAAATCCCAGAAGACTGCTTTCTTCATAGTCACTGCCGTGAAAGCCTCAAATCTTACATAAATACAAAATATCTAACCACAATAATTCACAACAAGTTTACCTGAAACATCTGAATCTGCATCCAGAACTTCTGGCTGGGATACGGAGGGTGAACTCAAGTTCGAGGACTGCAGCTGTAGTTTCCTTTGGGACAATGAAGATGACGGTGCTGGCGTAGTTATTAGAAAACTGGTAGCACTTTTAGAAGCGCTGGTACTGAGTGACCTTGAAGATTCAGGAGGGGGAATAAGGTTTGAAGTATTATTACTGAGATCAGAGAAACAACCTGTATCATCCATAACTGATGACACACTCCCTGATGGAACTGCATTAAAGTCCATACACATTTTACTAGTGCCAGTCTTTCTTCTGCAGTTGTTATCACTGTCTTCACTCTGACTTTCTGTACTGGCCACAGATTTGAGATGAGTGTTTCTGAGAGAAATAGAACTCGGACCAGGTCGCTGTTTCTTATGAGGATCATCTGCAATCCTACTGATGCTGGTGCTAGTCCCACTGCTGCTTGCTGAGTCACTACCACCACCTTCCTGTGAATCAGTGTCGCCACTACTGACCTGCAGTGTTGGTCCTATTAAAACACCACTCTCATTCAAGATATCGGTATCTGCATCATTTTCGCAGAACCCTTCACTGCTGACACTTGAGCGGTTTCCATCCCGGTCCCTGCTATTGTTAAGATTGGACACACCGCTCAGCGCGATCGGAGAGAGAGATAAATCATGGTGGGTGTACGAGAATTCTACAAGCTCTCTGATCCGGGTGGGACGTTTGCCCATCCCGCTCGTATGATGATTACTATGGATGTGATTGATACTGAGTAAGTGTGGGTTATGATAATGGTGATAATGATGATGATGATGTGTATGATGATGAGTTGTTGACGGGTGCTCACAGTACAGAACAGCTTGTGATGAGTTTACCTGCAAGACAAAATGTAGGTATAACATGTTACCATAAATAAGATCTGTATGTTTGTGATGATGGTATATTAATAAAACAATGTTTAAGAGACTGAACTCTGCTTCAATCCTCATGCAGAAAGCCTAATCAGTTGCACCTGATCTCTGGGCAAGGGGACTAGCTCTATCAAATGGGCTGGAATGAGCAGGCATTTTACCTGAGAACAGAGACAGAGCCCAGTCTTCAAAACGTTGTTCTAAATAAAAATATGATGGATAATGTCCTATAAGTCAATTGTTGTAATATGTTGTTATGTTCAAGGAGCCAGCTTGACAATATTAATATATGGGATGTGAGGGTTGTTCACAGGACAACACAGATATGAGGGGTGAGAGGAACACACATATGCACATGTGTGGGGGGGGGATCTTTTAAAACTTATGGACAGCAAAACAAACATGACTCGTTAAGTTTACATCACTCAGATTTTATCACTCAGTCACAATCGGCACTGTGATTATATACACATATGTACCAAAAATTAATTCTAAATTAAAATATTTTAAAAGTATGAAGTAAGCCTCATTCCTAGCAGTCTCCATAGTCTAGGGGTAACGCTCCCACCTCATGACTCAAGGTACGCAGGTTCAAACCCGGCGGAGGTCGTGGAATTTTTAAGGGCGGAAAAATTCAGGGAACAAGTCCTCCGGGAGGGACTTTAAGCCGTGGGTCCCGTGTCGTAGCTTTACGGCACGTAAAAGAACCTCATGTTCTTAGGAGACCTCTGAGCTAAATTTGGCCAAAAAGTTTCCCGCCCGAAGTAGTTTCCAATGCCTCCGGTAGATGGGGGAGCTTAGGTACCACTGCCAGAGCAGGGACGACCTCACTGACAGAAAGGGACTAACTATCAGATACCACTGCCAGTAGAAGGCCGAAACCTCGCTGGCAGAAAGGGAACGATAGCAAGCACCAGTACCGGTAGGATGGGAACGTTACCCCTAGACTACGGAGGCCGCTTTAACTATAAGTAAGTCTTACAAGAAAACAAAAAATTTCTTCATTCAGTTTTGCATATCCATCTTTAGTGAAAACCTTGATCTGGTGTACGAGAAGTCAATCCCCCCCAGATTCTAGAAATAGAGATTTTGTTGTCAATACTTACCTGGTTCACAACAAGACTTTCTGCACGAGGTGAATCGCCAGCATGGCGGAAACAAGTGAAGGGACAGTGGTACAGCCGACTAAACCCACTGGTGTACGTTATGCCGGGGAGGGGGTAGTCTTCCCAATCCATGTAGCACGCTTCAATAGCTGGCTTGAATCCCGTGAACACTTCCACATCGCTGCGGAAAATGCTGACATTTTTCATGTTCGTGCCACAACTACCACTGCCGTTCCCTCCAGAACTGCTGCTTGTTAGTGACTGGTTGTTGGACACACCACCCCCACGACTCTTTGTCACCTGCTCGGAATGACATGGATTATATTACTACAGGTTTTGTTCTTGGGCACTGGTGCCATTGGCTACATGGCCATCATTTTGGAAACACCTGCTAGCCCCTTCTTCTAGGTGAAATGACTCACAGACACACATACTGACTGTTCCCATTCATGTGTCCAGCTACAATCAACAGAAATGCAAAGGTGGCCTTGACAAGGACATAAGGATGTGAACTCAGGTCCCTCTTCAGTGACACCTTCATTTTTCTCCATTCATCCTAGCCAGCCAATGGATGAATGGGGCCGTGCAAAAGGTAAGGTCACTGGTGTAGAAAATGGAATGAGCAACGATCTTGGAAACAAACTATAACAGATCCATACCACGTTTATGAAAGTATTATTTATTGGGGGGTGGGGTACTTAAAATCTAATCTACTCAATACAACGTGAGCCTGGATAGCATAGCTGGTATAGCAACCGACTATGGGCTGGATGCCCAAGGGGTCGGAATTCGATTGGAAAGGACATGGAAGGAAAGAATTATGGCCTAATTTTAGGCACTATCCAAAAATTTGGTTGGAGGGACTCAAGAAAACCATAAAAAATTTAATTCAGGATAGTCAAACTCATGCCAAAGTTTCCTGGAATACAAGGGGGGTGTCGCATCCAGTCAACCGCAATGTCTGCTGAGAAAAATGCTGAGGATGATAAAGAGATTAAACTTGAGCATAAGTAGGAAAAAAAAAACATGGAAAGAGAACACAGCGAAATATACGCAATACATACGGTACTTTACAGAAACATGTATACGTATTGGTGGACGGGATCTTGTGAAAAGTATAGTGTATCAGTATGTAAACTCACCAGCTCACTCACCTTTTCAACAATTTTAAGGTGCCAATCCCTGAACTGGCCATGAAGGAGCTCTCTCTCTTCAGGAGACAGGCCAGGATTCAGGGCTGCCAACCGCCACAATACCACAATCTCGTCACAAAGAGAAGAGCAGGCATGCTGTGATGTGTGACTATTGCTGTTCATATTGCTGTGCTTTCCCCCACCATGGCCAGAGCTGCCATTATGCAGAGCCACCTTGGTGTTGAACCACCAAACCAGAATCTTAAACAATTGGTGATGATAAATGCCAACACGTTATTCACCAGAATACACTCACAAAACAGCACAGCAGTTACACATAATATTTACAAGCCTATAACTGTCTAAACATCTATGAAATGGCTGGTTCATTACAATGAAATCATCTATTCTTTTAGTTATACACGTACGTCGTACAGAAAGTCATGAGCAACTTTTTCTTGCATGCAACCTGGGAACAGCAGATGAAAGAGAGTATGGTGGTAGGTGGAACCAGCTGTTGTGTTAACCTTGAGTGTCTTATGACATCAATACCTTGCATCACATGACCACTATCACTCCTAATAAAATGGCCGACGATATGTTGTTTCACCAGTGTGCTGTCATCGAATTTCTTGTGAAAGAGGAAATCCCGGCTGCAGAAATTCACCAGAGACTTCAGCGTGCGTATGGAAGTGTGTGCAGGGTGCGAGCAGTGTTCAAAGACAGGTGAAATATTTTAAAGATGGGAACACCAGCATTGAAGATGAGCCTCAGAGCGGTCGTCCTCGAACAGCCTCAACTGAAGACAACAAGGAAAGAGTGGATGAGATCATTCAAGATGACAGGTGTGTGACTGTGGATACAATAGCCCGAAAACTAGGAATAGGGCACAGTGCAGTACAGGAGATGATTGAAAGCTTGGGCTACAGGAAAGTTCGTGCTTGTTGGGTCCCGCGGCTATTGACCGAAAACCACAAAGGTCAGCGAAAAGCCATCACCCCAGAACTGCTGCAGATATTGACATGAAGGCGATGACTTTTTTGCTCTGTATTGTGACAGGAGATGAAAGCTGGTTTCACCATTTCGATCCTGAAACGAAACGGCAGAGTATGGAATGGCACTGTTTGCATTCCCCATCAAAAAAGAAGGCAAAGACAGTGCCATCACCTGTGAAGGCGATGGGCACAGTCTTCTGGGATGCAGAGGGGTTTATTCTGGCTGAATTCCTGGAACCTGGGCAAACCATCAATGCTGCTCATTATGTCCAGACACTGCACAAGCTAGGTCGTGCATTGCACGATAAATGTCTGGGATGAAACATCATCATCCTGCATGACAACGCTCACCTCACATTGGAAGCAATTGCAAAGATTGGGTGGGAAGTTCTTCCACACCCCTCCTATAGCCCTGATCTGGCAACCTCTGACTACCATCTTTTTGGATTTGTGAAGGATCAGCTGCATGGACAACGTTTTGAGACAAGGCAGGCAATTCAGAAAGCAGTGTGTCAGTGTCTTCGGATGGCTGCTTTACAGAAGGGGAATTTTCAAACTCCCAGAATGCTGGGAGAAATGTGTACAAAGAAATGGCGATTATGTGGAAAAATAAAGAAAGGTCTATAGATTGAGGTGGTGTATTTGGTTTGTCAATAATAAAGCATGTTACTTTACAAAAAATTGTTGCTCATGACTTTCAGTACAGCCCTCGTATTTCATCTATGTGATAGTTTGGAAATTATCTCTAAAGGTTTTCAAGTTATTGATCACCTAAGCTGAAAGTATAAATAAAAATTTTCTTATAGAAAAACAATGAAGACTGAAGTGTGATTAGAGGAAAATTATGTGTGGAATTACGGTACATAAGTTTTGATCATACCTGTTCACAAGCCATGCATTCCTCGGTGATTATTTCCAGAAGAGGTATGGCATTGCGATCATTTCTCTTGAACATCTCACGAACAATAGACAGCAAATTCCACATGCCTTCTGGTTCTCTGCCACGTAGTGGTCTCAACAGATTGCTCCATTCAGCAGCCGCTGGAGGTGCTGCTGCACTTAGGTAGTTCACATCACTGGCAGAAGAAATGTAATTTCTAAATAATGCAACAAACCTGGAGAATGCATAATAAATAAACACAAAGGAAAAGCAATAAACACCCAGAGCTGCAAAGGAACCATAAGGCTGAACACCAACTCCATGGAGCAGAGTCCTTCTTGAGAAACTAACAGTTGCTCAGCTACTCTAGAAACCAAGGAACCTATGCAAGTGCAAGGCCATGTATTGACATGTTGACCCCTACCTCCCCAGCTGCACGTAGCGGTAAAGTAGCGCTCGCGTAATAGGCAAGTAATCACCCCGCAACTCTCCCCGCGGTGACGTCACGAGCGGAGCCGAAGTGAGCCGAGTCCCCGCAACCTTGAAGCTATGCAAAGCGAGTCAACAGTGGTGACGTCGCTGAGGGATATCGCGGTTGCTAGGCAGCAGTCAACAACTCCGGACAGCGTGGCTAGCAACACGGCACCAGACGACAATGGTCCGGACCGAGGCTACATAAGGAGCAGCGAAGGCTATTCACAGTCAGTCCTCGAGCTACCTCCGAGTTAGTTCTAAGTTAGCCAGCAACCAGTCAGTTGTAACGTGGCATTTAAAGTGTAGTATTTGTGATACTGCAGATAGCAGTAGTTCTAAAACTGTCAATTGTGTGATTGTACGTGCGAATGTGAAATAAAATTCGCTACATCAAATACATCGTGAAGTTAATTGTCGCGTTATACACCCAATATGCGACAATATCATAAATGCTGGTTCTTTACGGTGAAGGGCTGTAAGCTTCCTTCTCACCCACAGGTCTTCAGCAGAGGACAATGACCGGTCAGCTGTCCACAACTGCTTATTCAACATATTAACAGCTACCCTCCATACCTGCACAACATATACTTATGGCCTTAATACAAAACCGCAGCTTTAAAATAATTTACCAGGAATCTTAAGTGGTTAAACTGACCTGAACACGATTGGGGCTGGCACACAGAATTTGATGAGTATTTTTTTGATGTTGTCATGGAGCGTCTTTTCATCCAAATACCACGATGTCTGCTCATTGGCCGAGGCACCAGCTGTGGGATCTGGAGCGCCACACACCTGAAACGAAGGTGATGCATTATGGGACATACGTACAAGTGAATATTACAGTCTTCTGTGACGTGATGCTGTGTAGCTTTGAAAGAACCGCTGCCTCCGTTTTCAGGGTAGAAAACTCTTCTACTTTGAAAAGGGAGGCAGACAGTTCCTTCTAAACACTGTTACCTATTTGATCCAGAAGACCATCATAACCACAGATCTTACAACAATGATGACGACAACAAAATAACAATCTAGAAGGCAAACACTTCATGAAGGGTGTGTTGTGTGCCAAAGTACTATGCACACAGGCAGAGAGATGAATTATTGTAAAATCCTATAATCTTTCTCAGCCTTGCAAGACAGAGATAAACAGTGAGCTGCATACTCATTCTCAGCCTTTCAAGAACAGTGAGCTCCATACTCATTAGCAGGCTTGCAAGACAGAGATGAACAGGGAGCTCCATACTCATTCTCAGGCTTGCAAGACAGAGATGAACAGCGAGCTCCATACTCATTCTCAGGCTTGCAAGACAGAGATGAACAGTGAGCTCCATACTCATTCTCAGCTTAGCAAGACAGAGATGAACATGAGCTCCATACTCATTCTCAGGCTTGCAAGACAGAAGAACAGTGAGCTTAATACTGCAGCAAACCTGCACTCTGATACCCAGACTGGACAGGAGGCCGAAGCAGGCAGGCAATCAGTAAAGCCACTTACCGTGTTGATGGCTGACGGTTGTGAAGAGAGCAGTTCATCCAGTAAACGCTGAGCAGTGGGCAGAATCTGTTGCGGCAGCTCACTGATCAGATACTGAGCAAATTTCTGCAACTGCTCACGATGAAGTCTTGACAATGACTCGCTCACTGGAGCCCGCAGGCAAACTTGAGTTGGCTGATAACAATGGTCATATCGTTGCAAATTAAGTTTATCTACACTACATACAACATAGAGGCCCAAATGTATACAAGTGGATTCACTTGCACATACACAAATGGAATTATCTGTTAGTATGCATTCTCTGTGCAAAGTGAATGCATGCAGAAGGGATTACAGCCATCTATTTGTATGTTCATACATTTCATCTGAAACTACTGAACAGATCTGAATGAAATGTAGAACTGGAAGTCTATGTGACATGTAGACCCACTGCTAGGGAATGACTCTGTAAACAAGCTTGCAACAAATATGCAATCAACAATAGGGTAGACACATTTCTAGGCAATGCCCGCAATACAAGCATTTAACAACAAAATCAGTGTCACAAGAGTGTTCTCTGTGGGTTAACATATATCCATTCCTAGGCAACGGATGTGTTTTCTGTGCTGTGGTCCAACCAAGGCTATGTAATGAGAAGCCAACAATAACTGATAGTTTAGCTGGAAGGAAGAATAGTTCCTGTGGAGTGTCCAGCTAGAACAAGAAGACAGTGTGTCAGACAGTGATTTGTGAACTGTTGTAACTAGTTGTATAAAGGTCCAATAAAGTTGATCATCAAATCCAAAACCCAATTTATTAGTCACACAAACCTTGGATATATGACATTATATTAAAAAAACTGGCAGTCCTCTGGTGACTATGAGGTTGCCTTCCATAGCTACTTTATCAACTGTGGAACATCACTGGAAGGGGGTGAAAACAGTTAGTTCAGAACGAGGCACTAAACTTGTGATAACTCTGAGTCATTTGTTTGAAGTTCCTGACTTTGTTTTGTACAGGTAATATGAATAACGGGTGAATAAATTAAATACTGCCTAACTTACTAACTCCATGGAGCTAAGCCATCCTTGAGAAGCTGCCAGTCACTCAGCTACTCAAGAATTTCTCAACACTTTATGGAACCTGAAGGTTCATTAGCATGCTCACCAGAGGCCTCCACTGGTCCCTACCCTGAGCAAGATGAATCCAGTCAATAACACCACATCCTATTTCTCTGACACTCCATTTTAGTATTATCTTCCTACCCATGCCCACATCTTCCTAGTGATCTCTTTCCATCCGACTTTCCCACCAAAATTCCTCTTCTCCCCCACATGTGCTACATGCCCTGTCCATCTCATTCTCCTTGCCTTGATCATTCTAATTATACATAGTGAAGAGTATGAAGCCCCTCATTACACAGTTGTTTCCAGTGTCCTACCATTTCATCCCTATTCTCCTCAGCACCTTGTTCTGAAATACCCTCAGTGGGTTAAATACTGTCTTTTGTTCGTATCACACCAATATAAGCATTACATTAGAAGACGCCAAAATCAAACCACAATGAAACGCTAAAAAATGGCTCTTCATACAAAAACATACAGCATATGACAAAATACATAGACCATTAAGACTTCTAATTTTTATTTGATACATTTTTTGATAAGCTGAATATCTAATGAAAGAGAAAGACAAACAGTTTTACTTCAGTGCAATCAACATTCTTCTTAATAATGTCCATAAACAAGTGACATGACAGGTGACTTGACCAACAAAGAAATGATGGCACTACAAAACAGGATGAAAGGAAATTTGATCATTATGATGATGGCAAGGAGGGTAAGAAGAGCAACGGGGAATGTTTCACAAGATATCATCCCCTAAAACAAGGCAAATTGCAAAGTAAGCACTGAAATACATGAATAGAAACTACACAATGGACTGCAGTTATGTTAGTTTAAAGAATAGGAAAATCGGCCTGCACTGACCCAGGGGGTGAGTGGTACAGGCAGACGGCGAGCTACGCGACCTGTCTGAATATTAGAAATGATGTCAAAATGGAATGTACAAATGTGGAAGTAAAGACCCAGGTATTGTCACACCAGAACACGCTGAGAATGTCTAATTTGATTCTACACTGCAGGTCTACCAACCTGATGTATCCTGTGAAGGCATACGGCAACAACATGTGAACACCAGTACGCGGTTGAAGAGCAGGTACAATTGCAGGATGTGATACGCCGCCGATCAAATGTCACTGCCACATTGTACTGTCCCCGAACTTGCCCCACACTTGGAGGTGGCCAAACACTCGCACTAAGATGGAAGCCTGCCCACAAACAGACATTCAGAGATACTTTCAACATGCACACTATCTTCAACAGTCAAACAGGCACAAGAACATTCACAAATAACTTTGGAAATTTACTTTCAATGATAAAAACTGTCACTGTCAGATGGGATAGGCATAATAGTTATAAAGGTCAAGCTATCCCTGTAACAGGCCATGGAGGTCCATAGGGTTGCGGGATGTTGAGGCTCCCACATTTTCAAGACAACCGGCGATTCCTGGTACTCATTTCTGTTAGAAGCTGAGTCAACCCCAGGCCCCATGTGTGGTTGGAAGGATTAGGTCAATTTAAAAATCGAATTACCTCTTCAGGAACAGAAGCCGTAACCTTCCAGCTTGTAGAATAGTGACTCAACCAACTACGCTACCATGTGCTCCCCGTAACAGTAACGAGAGATCAATTTTGCTAAGTGTCTGGAGGCAGGGGAATAGCCATTGTTTAGCCATTACCAGGAAACGTCTAGCAACAGACTGAGAACACTAGACTGTATGCTTTAGTGAACTTTTAAGTGTGGAAATAGCAAGAGTTGTTGTTGTTGTTATTGGAGAGGGTGGGTTTCCCCATGCACTTAGACCAGATATTGGTCCATTGTGCATAGCCCCAGTGATATTCTACCAGTCTCTATACACTACCGGTACTGGTGCATGCCATCAGTCCCGACTCAGCCAGCGAGTTCGGCCTCTACTGGCTCAGCGGTATCTCGATGCTTCCCCCATCTGTCAGAGGCGTTAGAGACTACTGTTGGGTGGGAAATGTCCTGAATTTGGCTTAGAGGGCCCCTTGAGACATGAGGTTCTTTTACGTGCCGTAAAGCTACGACACGGGACCCATGGCTTAAAGTCCCTCCCGGAGGACTTGTTTCCTGAATTTTCCGCCCTTAAAAATACCACGACCTCCGCCGGGTTTGAACCCGCGTACCTTGAGTCACGACGTGGGAACGTTACCCCTAGACTACGGAGGCCGCTTAAATAGCAAGAGTGCTGCAGTTATGACCTGTAAGTGGTCAATAAATTTATTCACCAATCCAAACCCTGTCTATAGTCACACATACGTGACAGTATGAATCTTCACCAGTGCATAAACCTCAAAAATCACCAGACATTTGTGAGTGCAGACTCAAAAATGCATGATACACGTATATAGAACTGCAGTGCCATGATGCCATGAGATGACAAATAGTTAATATTCTAACCCGCATAACTATGCGTTTTGGGCCCAAAAGTGTAAATAAACAATTTGTACGTCAGCTTCTTATAGCAGAGCCTCAGGTTCAATCTTGGGTGACTTCATGTGTGAATTACGGTGGATGAAGCGCAAATTGGGAAAGTTCTGCTGAGCTTCTTTGTTTATTCTCTGCTAATCATCAACATTACTCCAAACTCATGCATCATCACCCCCTGAGATGAGGAACAGTCTTCACAATATCACATCCCCAGTATTTACTTTTGGGGCTTATTCTTTGGCTGTTTACACAGTAAAGGACTTTCAGGGCTTTCTCTCTGACATAGCATTTGGCTGGTTACACAGTAAGGGACATTTATATATCTGATAACAACAATTTACTGTTAAAGAAAACTGAAAGTAGCTAAAGTTGGCTTGATTGATTTCAATTTAGAAAATACATACAGAGACCAATGAGTCTGGTAAAGGTAGCAACGTTTCAGATGAATCTTCTGCCTCCATCTTCAGGGTAGAAGTGAGCTAATACCTAATAGAGAAAAGAATGATTTGGACTGGGGATTAAAATGAATCAATGGGAACCACTGGACCTGAAATGAGCTGTTTTCTCAATGGGGATAGAAGAAAGAAGTACAGGGTGATTCAGAAAGATGGACACAATTTCAATTGGCTATATTTCCTGAATTATATGTTGCATTTGAATTCTGTAAATTACACTTGATTATACATACATGGAAGTTTATAGATGTTCAATGTCCCCCCTTCCTCAGGCTGCACGAATAACATCTAGACGGTAGCTGAATTCATCCTACACTCGATGACAAATATCTTGCGTCACTGAGTTCACCGCAGCTGTGATACAGTTTCTTAGGTCATTCAAATTTGTGGGAAGAGGTGGTACACGCCACACAGTTGTTTGCGATAGTCCAAGTTCTCTACTAGCACTACGGGTTGACTTCATTGGGCTGCGCTCAAAGTTCACTCGAATGCACTCCACGTTCTCCTCCGATACATGCGATCGGCCCGGGACGTAGTGATGGAGGGCACTAGCGGTAGTACTAGAAACTTTGTAACATCCTCTTTGAAATGTACTTTACAGAATTCAAATGCAGCATACAGTTCAGGAAATATAGTCAATTGAAATTGTGTCCATCTTTCTGAATCACTCTGTATAAGAGAAAGTCACAGAATTGTGTAAAAGGAATGAAAGGGAAGCAGAAGGAAAAAGAGACGAAAAACTCTGAAAAGGGAAATTATCAATGGGCCCTTATGACAGCCAGGTTAGAGAAATCTAGTCATAGCATATCCCCAGAAGGATACTGTCAATACCAGTCCTTTCCTCTCTACATGACAGTCAGATCACTTCTTCGCCCTGAAGATGGAGGTAGCAGGGTATTCAAAAATATCAGTACCTATCTGACTATATCACGTCATATCTCAGAAGATCATAATCTTAATACCAACCACAGCGAGAAACTCATAGCTCACCAAGTAAGTGTCCGAATACCAACGTAGCACTTGCCTATCTGCAGGGGATCCTTGACAGCTCGGTTCTTGAAGAGGTGCTCTCCCCTCTGGAATTCATCTGCACTGCCATTGGCCAGACAAGAGTACAGACGGATGTCCTCCTCATTGTCTGGGAAACTCCAAAATGCGATTCTGAGCTGCAACTGTTCAGGCACTGGAGGGTAGACATGCTCCACCAGCTCGAACGGTATGTGTGCTGCCACGCACCGTGCAGTCAGTTCACCCAGTGATGGCACCACGAACCCACCTTCTGCAACACAACGTTCATTACATAACATGAGAGCGTTACTTTAAATCTTCTAGAATTTGAATTGCTTTATAAGCCAGGAACCTGTCATCATCTGTATCCTCACACCGGACTTAATTTGTTCATGAAGCCATTTATACACTAATGAATTGTAGTGTTCGGGACCAGACTACAGACCACACTACACCCCATCACAGTCATTCCTGAGAGGCCATTAGTTGCTCAGGTACTGAAGCGGCTGTCATGTGTGTTACATAACCCAAAAGTAAAAAGGTAAAGCTATACAATCCGCTGGCAGATGGCGGTGAGGTTATCAGCCTTACGCGCCAGCCACCCTGTACCCCCAGGAATATTCCTGGTACTCATTTCTTTTAGAGGCTGAGTAGACTCCAGGGTCATACATCACCGTATACACAATAATCCACCACTGTACCATATCCTGAGCCTCGTGAAACCAATCCGCAACCTACCTCTTAAACACACCTTTTCATATTATCCTACAATCTACGTCAAGTCGCCTTTTCCCATCTGGTTACAAAACTAAAAATTTTTAGACACTTCTCATGGCCACAATAGCTAAGTTGGTATAAAGACAGGCTACACGCTGGACGGCTTTGGGGCTCTTTCCCTGAGGGTAAAGCGGCCAAGGCATGAATCTGACCACTCACCTCCATCTAGTGCCGAGGTCAAGAATGGTGGAGCTTTACCTCCACTTCCTCATGTCTTCATGGCGTGGTGTTTAATTAATTAAGAACAAGGGCAACTTTACCTTGCCATGCGTGCTACATACTCCGACCATCTTAAATCTCTTGATCTGGTCACAACAGTGCACCTATAAATTATGAAGACCCTCTACAAACCTCAAATACTTATCACTGGGGTATAGGAATAGATAAAGCAAGTCCTACAAGATCGAACAAGTTCTAAGCAATGCATATCAACATATTCCAACTTGTTTCGTTGCAACTGAGTAAGATTCATTCTGCCCCCCCCCCTGCATTTGAGGACTGCAATGTACCCAGTCTCTACCCCCATAATCATATGCACCACAGAAAATGGAAAACGTCGCATGCAATTCATATCTGTACAAGGAATCGCCTTTAGAAAAGTCTCCAGGACAACAAACTGCCATTGCTTCGTGATGAGGGAAAGAAAAAGACTAACATTTTTAATTAAAAAGTGCGAAGGAAAGAGATTGAGACTTTTTATCATGCACTGTAGGTTTTATATCACTTTTGATTTCAACCGTATGAAATCTACCATCGCCTGGAGGTTATACAACACTTCTCGCATTCCCGAGTGATGTGCTGTCGGCACCGCAGGGTAACATCTTGTTTCGGCTGTTTCTATTAGTGGATGCATGGGAATTTGGGCGAAGCTACTGCAATACGATCTTTGTATGTAAAGTGGGCACCAGCAGAACAGTGGCGGCTCGTTACTGCCGCTGCAGACGACAAAGAAATTTGGGCGAAGCTACTGCAATACGATCTTTGTATGTATAGTGGGCACCAGCAGAACAGTGGCGGATCGTTACTGCTGCTGCAGACGACAAAGAAATTTGGGCGAAGCTACTAAAATACGATCTTTGTATGTAATGTGGGCACCAGCAGAACAGTGGCGGCTCGTTACTTCCGCTGCAGACGACAAAGGAATTTGGGGGAAGATATTGCAATACGATTTTTGTATGTAAAGAGGGAATAAGCAGAAGGGTGGCGGCTCGTTACTGCTGCTATAAGCAAAGGAATGGGCGTCAACCATGCATTCTTAACGTAGGAACATATTAAACATCAGTATTTACGAAATACGAATATGTCCACTGCGAACATAACATAACATAACTTTCTGGGCAACTGAACAGTGGATGTTCGTTAGTTTATTTACTGAAGCTTTAGGAAACATATGTACAGGCCGTACTTAAAGGTGAACACAAACTTTGGGCATGAGTTCCACATACCAAAATACGAAAAAAACGTCCATATCAACATGTGTCCGGAAGCATTTAATTAGTGAGTTACAGCTGAAAGAATGCATGATGGTGCTCCGTGCTGTGCGAGATGTTCTCATGGCCGGTGGATAGGTAGAGGACACACTGCTTGGACTCCACGCTCCTGTGGGGACACCTCACAGCCCTTGTGTATGCAGACACTTCACACCGCAGTGCGGACGCCTGTCAGACTGTCAGCAACTGCCCCGGCATCTCTGCACGGATACGGCGGTCCATGATGAGGCGTGTCAGGGAGTGCACTCAATCTCATGGAGGGCTTTTCGAGCGCTTATTATAAATGTACTCTCAACTCGCAAATAAAATGTTTCCGGACACGCTGATATGGGTACGTTCTCTTGTTTTGGTACGCGGAAGTCGTGCCCACGCACACCTGTATATATAAGTCATACATCGCCAATGTAATGCGAAGGTTTGGTCGAAACTTAACCGCCGCTTCGAAGTTCTCAATGAACACACGGACGTACAGAAGGAGACAGGCAGTAAACGGGTATACACTCAATTTTATAACATTTAGATGTTGCCCACTGAAAACTTCTGTGTATTCAGACACAAGTACTTACATCGTTATTGTGTGTTTGTTTACAGGCTACTGCCCTCTCTCGAACCAACAATCAAACGCTAACCAAGTTCGCGTTACAACCCAATAAAATCTACGGCCGTGTTTACTCCCTATTCTATCGTAGAAATGTCGACATCTATCGAGATGCCTGTCTTCCCACTCAAGGTTCTTGCTTCAAATCTTGCTAAAACAAAAGATATTCCTATTTACTTCCTTCCTTCTTGGCTCTAGGGTCTTCTAAAACACCTTTACGTAAAATATCCATTCTTCTCTATTATTTTGTGTTCTGTCTCCCGTCTTTCCATCTTCAGCGCTCGTAAACCATTCTCTACATCTTCTAGCCATCTCTATCTGGGCCTTCCCATGTTCCTTCTACCTTCTTACATTCAGACATTTTCTTAGGCAGCCTTGTAAGAGCCACATGCTCCAAACACTTAAACTTTCTCCTTTTATTATCCACGTCCAGATTAGATTCCTATTTATTTACTGACATCGAAACACGTTCTTTCAATACTGCGCAATTACCGCTGATTTATTTTCGGTTTAAGACGCTAAACGTTTTCGATCCAGGCACCGTTGGGATCATAAGTTCGAATCCCATCCAGGACAACAACGATTTTCATCACTACCTATCATCCCACGAATCTTTTGCTACAATCACAGACTTTGCGGACATTATCCATCGTCCTGTTTCTTATTTAGACTGGGCTCCATGTCCGTCCTCAGGTAAAAGCATACTCAGTTAGGCTCAATCTCCAGACCTCCAGAACTTCTGAACAGGTCTCGATAAACATCGATGTTTCGGAGTCGACAATTAAAACCTGTCACACAAATGTAATTTTATTTTCGTACCAATCCAGTATAGGAGCCGGGATAGCGACTGGCTACGGGCTGGATGACCGAGGGTCGGAGTTCGAGTCTCGGTACGGTCAAGAATTTTCTCTTCTCCATGCCGTACAGACAAGCTCTGAGGGTTCGCACAGCCTCCTATCCAATGGGTACCGGGGGATCTTTCCCCGGGGGTAAAGCGGCCGGGCGTGGAGCTGACCACTCACTTCTAGCTAGTGCTGAGGTCAACAAAAATGTGGATCTATACATCCACTCCCCCATACGCCTTAATGGTGTAGTGCTTAATTAGTTAAGCACAGGGACAACTTTACCGTTATCAGTCCAGTATAACTAACTCGTCATTCGAATAGCTGAAAATATTGTTATCTCTGATGTCTGAATTCACTGCTTTCTAAATAAGTCTGTATTTCTGCCCACTATCTCTACCGGAGTGGCAATATTTGCTTTCCGGTGCAGTGAGAATTCCGAAGTCCTGTGCATAATGCTATATGAAAACCGTTCGCGGTGATTTCCCTGCAGACATTTACACCGTGCGGCACAAGGTCATACGCGACGGTGTGCACACACCAGTGCACCACCTATAATCTCGCATTTCCTAAAGCTGGCCAACATCAGAGCATATACAGGCTTCAAACTCAACCAGTCTTCATGTGACACACCAACCCAGTGCGAATTAATGACAGACAGAAGTCAACACATTGATTGCACAGGAAGCCGAGTGTGTTGAGGAAAATATCTGGGTGTACAGAGAGGAAGTTACACTACAAGGGTGAAAACTGCATCATCGTCGGTAAAACAGCCACTTTTGATCATTTCCTTAGAAGAGTCTGCCACACTGAAAGCGGTGTTCACCTCTTTAGATTTCGCAACAGTATTTTTTTTTACAGAGCAAGATCGCCAGCCCTGCGTCCAACCCAAAACCTGGAGAACCAGGTCCCTGTATGTATGTCCCCCAGGTACAGGGTGGCCCAGTTATACCCCCTATGCACCGGGTTCCTTTTTCGTCGCCTTCTACGGCTCGCAGGGCTACGGGGGAGGTATTCTACCCCCCCCCCCGCCAAATATTATTAGGGCGATAAAATTGATGGTAAGATGAGCGGGTTATGCCGATCGAAAACGACTGATGAAAAATGCACTGGCGATTTTATATATAAAACCTAAAGGGTAAAAACCATTTGGAAGACCCAGATATCGAGGGAGGATAGAAATATGTGACGAGGTTGGCTGGATTCATCTGCCCTTGCGGACATGGTAATGGGCCTTCGAGTTCTATAAAAAGGGGGGGGGATACTTCTTCAGCAGTTGAGTTTGTTCCGTGGAGATTGCAATAACGATGTCGCAGGCTCGAAATAATCTAGATCTATTTTCACATAACCTTCCTCGAGCCTTATAGGTCTCTCTGGTGACGGTGTGCCACAAACATAATCCTACTACTTCAGGGTCCCTTTCGCTCAGCGCGGGAGAGGGTGGAAGATGAGACTATGGGTGGGGTGGGGGGGGCAAGAGTCAGCTCACATATCGGCATCTGCAGATCTACTGGGAACCATAAACCGGTAATTACTATCATATTTATTGCTGTAATATCAAACA